CGCGTGGCAGCCATCCTGTACGGATGGTGTAGACCCCGTGGGTCTGGGTAGTTGGGATGCCAGACCGTGGGAGTCGATTTTGGTATCGGAGCAGTCGACGTGAGAAAACTTCACTCCAGGGCGGGTTTTGCTGAAGCTTCTGGGTACATGAATCTCAAGTTTTCCGTTTTTCTGCAAAAAAAAGCATCAACCCTTAGCGAGCGCCCTTGGTTCAGTGCAATCTGTCCCCCTTGGAGTTCAGCCGTGGATAGATGGACGTGGTCACTTACAGTGGCTCGGAACCGGCCTCCAAGCTTGTTCCATCCCGGGATCTGCAACAGCTGGAGTAGACCTCTATGAAGCTTTGCTGCGTCGAGAACGTCGTTGTAGCGAAAAGTATAGTTGATAATAGATGTACGTACAATGGCAGCCTGATCTATGAAATGTACGGGCAAGACCTCGTCATCACTTTGCGGATTGTCGGTTTCTGACACTAGGTCTTCCGCGGCAACGGTGTTTTCACCTTTACCCTCTTGGTGCTTTTCAAGCCTAGAGGCTTGATACAGCCGCAAGATCAGTACCAGTGAGAAGAAAAGCGGTATTGTCGCCATCTTGTACAGTACAATGGCAGCCCTTTGTTGGTACCGGAACCTCTCTAAGATATAATATCGTTAGAACAAACCAGACGTGCAATTGGCTCTATAAATCTTCCCAGCCTAGTATGAGCGAAACCTTCTAATATACTATTCATCAAGTCTGTTTGGATAAAGTAATAAATATAAGAATCGTCTCGATCTGGCCAGTCATTATAACAGGCAGCCGGCTAGAACGCTTTTAGGGTATTGTATATATCAAGCAAGTATACTCAATCTGCCTATAGCTCGAATCGATACCCTAATTGAGGAAAGATTAACGAATGTCACTCTATTTGATACCGGTATTATATAAAGTATATACTTCGATTCGCTGGTCACATGATATTTCTCGATACGGAGGTATGGGTACGAGTGGAGAAGAAGAAGGAAGAATTATTGGAGAGAGAGAAAACGAACTCAAAAGAGAAAATTCTCTAAGCAGATCTACGATATCCATATTACGATTACTACGGATGCACATAATGAAGTTGATGTTGATAATAAATTTGATAGTCGAGTTAATCCGTACTCATATTTTGCTTTCCTTACTGATAGCGAGTAAGATTGATCAAAGCGGCATGACTACTAACGATTCTGGCCAAAAATATCCTTGGAGTAACCCCTACAGGCGCTAGTGAGTCTCTTCGGATGCCGTACAATACTTATTATTACTTATCCGACATTCATATAGGCTTGGCTTGCCGCCCAGCCAAATTACCTAAAGGGGAATTCCATTTTGAGCATGTCCGACGGGTTAGGAGCCTCAAGTGTCCATGTACATTTCCCAGCATGGCCATCACCGATTGCCTCGGCACCTATCACAAGTAGTATACCCAAAGCTTGATTAGTTCCTTGTCGAGATCGAAAGCAGCTAACAGACCATATCAATTCAAACTAGGAACTGTCATGCCTAGTACGAGACTAGAGTCCATCTCGACAGGCCTTATTAGGCACTCTCTGTGTGCCCCACATTCAAACAACCCCTTCACTCAAAGTATATTTAGTATACCGGAGAATCTCCCTCACATGAGATCACGACTGTATTTCTGGTTCCTAGGTTCCTTGCGTGTCTTTCCCATTTCTCAACACAACTCTAAGAGTCGAGGACGTCAACATGGAGAAGAGCAACCCGACCTTGGACCTGGTCACTAAAACGGCGCTGTTCACGTGGCAGAAGTCCAACGTACTCCTCCAACATGGAATCGAAAGAGCCACTCCCTTTGTGCTAGCCGCCAAGAGTAAGGCATGGCAGAATGCTCAGTCAATCGGAACCAAGGTGGCTGAGGCCAGATTCGGAGACATTGACAGGACAGACATCACCGCGATAACCTCTATCGTCCTCGGGTTATACTTTGCTTATGTGTTCTTATTGGTATTCTACCGCTTGTATCTACATCCTTTGGCGAAGTTTCCCGGTTACAAGATCTGCGCTGCGTGCGAATGGTACGAGTTCTACTGCTACATTGTGAAGGGCGGACAATGGGGAAACGAAGTCCGCAAGATGCATGAGAAATATGGCAAGCAACTCCCAAGTGCCGTTCTTAGAGCACCAAGTCTCTAAAACTCAATTTCATGGTATCTTTGACAACTGACAGCATCTGGCTTTGCAGGCCCCATTGTGCGCACCAGTCCTTGGGAACTGTCAGTCCGCGATCCGGCGTTTTACGATCAGCTATACGTCACAGCCTCAACTCGCAAGACAGACATGTGGCCTAGGGGTAGAGAGGGAAACGGATTTGAAGGTACGCTTTCTAGCTTGGTGCAGATACACTCGCCGAAGAGTTGTAGGCTAACACATGTTTTGCGAATAGACTCGCATCACTTGTCAGTCTCCCACGACCTTCACCGTACGCGGAGAAAGGTACGCAGAGCCCCAAAAGCACTTTATGACCGTGGGGACAAGCCCAGTATCTAACGTTGTTGACTCATAGCATCTGGAACCATTCTTCTCTCGCCAAGGCATCACTCGCATTGAGTCTGGGATTGCCGAGCGTGTCATGAAGATGGACGACAGACTCGTGGGTCTCAAGAGGTCTGGTTCTATCATCCAACTGGACCATATGCTCTGCGCATTGACCGGTGATATTATTGGTCGAGTGTCTAGCGGTATGGAAGCTGGTCTGCTGGACGATCCGGAGTTCACTCCTGCTTGGTAAGTGAAGGGCATCTCTCGAAGTAACGAAAATGATGATGTAGATTCGGAGACTAAATTAGAGGTTTCAGGAAGGACCTTATGATCAAGTCCACCACTATTGCGCCCCTATTCCGATGCTTTCCATGGATTAACAAGTAAGCATTGCTTTTACGCATGGGACGGAGCCCTTTCATAAGTACGTGCTTATAAATTGAAAACCTCAGATTCCTGCAGTCTCTACCTACCTCAATCATGAACAGCGTCTATCCCAAAGGCATCTCGAACATGATGCTGGGTAAGGCCGGCCAGCGGAACATCGAAAAGATAAAATCCCAAATTGCCACGTCCAAGAAGGACCTGACCGGCGTTTCAGTTTTCCACCACCTTCTTTCATCTAATGTACCGGAGTCTGAGAAGTCTATCGATCGCTTGCGTGCTGAGTCTATGATACTGCTGCTCGCCGGAACACTGGCAGGTGCGCATACCCTAACCTTCGTCGTTTTCTACGTTCTTCGAAATCCGCAGATCGAGAAGCGGCTGAGAGCAGAGCTGCAGCCTGTTTTCAAGGGCTACCCCAACAAGGTACCTGCCTGGGCGGAGCTGGAAAAGCTGCCATATCTCAGAGGCTGCGTTAAAGAGGCGCTCCGGTTGAATGGGCTCGTTGGAAACCTTGCACGCTGCTCGCCGGACGAAGATATTCAGTTCCACCAATGGGTCATCCCCAAAAAGGTTTGCCGCATCATTTTTGTCTTAACGCATTTCGCAGTGCTCTTGAACTCTTTCCCGAAGATGTGAACTAACATAAGCTAATAAAAACCAGACTCCGGTTGGCATGTCCATCTACGCAATGCACTTTGACCCGAACGTTTTTCCCGAGCCCGAGGCCTTCAAGCCCGAACGCTGGATCGGAGAGTACAACAAGCAAATGGATCGCAACTTTGTTCCCTTCACTAAGGGCTCGCGGAGTTGCCTTGGAGTCAAGTAAGCTTAACATGCTCGCCTGCCATCGAGCGTACTGTTTTTGATGAAGGGCAATCGCTAACAAGATTTCTAAACGCTTTAGCCTCGCCTGGGCAGAGTTGTATCTTGCCAGCGCAATACTATTCCGCCCTGGCGGCCCTAAGCTTGTCCTTCATGATGCAGGCGAGTCTGATATCAAGATTGCGCGTGACTACATCATGGGTTTTCCTAGGGCGGATGCGAAGGATATTCGCGTCACTGTTGAGTGAGACCTCCCGATGACAAGGGTTCATGTTGCAACTAGAGGTCCATTCACTAATTGGGTCATCGGCAACGTTTCTATGTAGACTTACGTTACCGTAAATAATTAAGTCGCATTGAATTGACATCGCGTCGCTTTAAAATTATACCGGTACATCGTCCAAGGTTTCTTGGCATGCGTCCTCGAAGTTGTTGATTTACCTACTTTTTCTGTTATCTTTGATTAGTTAGTTTACTTGTAAATCGCTGTCAATCAAATTTATGGTAGCTCATGTGATTCATATTGACCTGAGGCGCAGCCGTTTCTCAACTCACGAAGCCGTAAGTAGACAGTAACGGACACCGAAAAGTTAAATGGAAGGTCCTCGGGTGAATTCTTTTCGACCCCGTCAAGGCTATTATCAGACTTTACAATCAACGAGCTCAGGAAGCTCTTTTTTTACCTTCGCAAGCAAAAACGCAGCAGGAGCGTAATGGGTTAGTATCATCCTAGTTCCAAACACGATGAATTAGCCGAAGACATGGCCGGAAGCTTGGTGTCTAGTTGACAAGTCAGTTCATTTTCCTGATCATCCTGGAGGTATTCGCGTTCATAATGAGTAGTTTCTGAAGGTGTCGTAGTTACTACATGTCAACCATATTCACTCCAAATTTATACTTGAGGCGGAAAAGAAATAGGTTTAGGACCCGAACTATAATAGTGATAGTAATAGGTCTCACGATAAGGATCGAATAAAGCTTCTAGATAGTAGTAATAGGGCTTGAAAAGATTTGTATTGGCTAAGTAGCTCAGAGGTGTGTAAGGACATGTGGATTATAGTCACAACGAGAATTCATAATAGCATAGTATAAGCATTTCCTAAACTGAGTACCAGATATACATAAGACGTCTCCTAGCATCTTGTGTGTCAACGTAAAAATATAAAGTTACAAACTTGACAGAACCACATTTCCCTGTGCCCCGTCCACTCCTTCATAGGAGGTAGCCACCTTTCCCTCTCCTGTTCCCCCCCTCATGCCAAGAGCAGGTCTTAAGCGGGGGGAAGGTACATGATACCTGTTTCATGGACATCATGGCCCTCAGGACCCAGGTAACGACCTGTTTGGAAGCTATTACTTCTGTTAGCTTGACTTCCATTTGGCTTCGCTGCTGTGGGACAGGATCCACAGCGGAATCGACTTGCCTCCAATATAGATTGCCCTGAGCCACTGCCCTGCAAATCTCCACAAACTTCATGACCTGGTGGTCGATCTTCTCGCCATAGGACGGAAGCTCGGCCAGAGCGAGATACCACCGCCTGTAGCAATCGTTGACCATGTCGCCAATCTTGTCAACAGCCTGCTGGGCGCTCAGGTTATCCCTTTCCATGAGTAGTGACATGAGGTTGTGATCTACGCCCAACTCCAGGTCTTTGCGGTAAGACAAAACATCATTCACCCTGAGGATAGGACTGGGTATCAGTACATAACCTTTGACAAAGGAACTGGAGTAGTATTGTCAAATTTTCTTACAGTATGACCAAGTCAGCTGAGATTTTCATGCATTCCTGCAAACTGGGGTGGTCGTAAACGTGCTGCGGCAGATTGACACCTGCGCCGTACTCGCCAAGGTTGATCGCCGGGTACACACCGATCGTGCCTCTTCGCAGGTCCATGTACGTTTCGACATCGCGTGTGAAGTTTTGGCCGCCGACTTGTTGGTCGACCTGTACGAGAAGCTGATCAAAATAGCGTTTGTGCTGGTCTATCCACCGCTGTTGCATCTCTGGGGCTACAGTCAACATCATACAGACTTGTTCGTCGAGCCGTGCCAGAGACTCGTGTGAATAAGACGTCCATTATTACAAAAGAGAGGTGGAAAAGAAAGAAGCAGAAGAGTCGCTTAGTTAGTGGAGAACGAACCTTGACTAGACACAGATTTTAACCGCTCCCAACATTCCTGGAAGACATATCGGAGGGGATTCGACTCGGGAGTGTACAGTGGTGCATTACCACCCATGATGGCAATGGTCTGCTTCACCTCCTCCGCTGCGGCGGCGGGATCTTCCTTCAGGTGCCCTTCATCGAATTCTATGTGGGGCGCAATACATTAGTAATTTTGGGGGATGGCTCGTCTAATGACCAAGAGCAACGTACGATCGTCGAAGAGAAATACCTGTGCGTGAAGTCACGAATTAGCCTCGGGAGTTACGGACTGATAAGAGAGGGGAAACAAACCCAATGGTTCCAGTCCAACATCATGACTAGCCGGTCCTCGGATGCATCTGGCGCCCAGATAGAGGCCAAAAAGCACAAATCAACCTTGGAATTTCTTGCTGCCACGGCCTTGTTGAAATTCATGACTCTACATGGCGTAACGAGACAGCACGTCAGCTTAAATTCTCTTTGCAAGTGAAGTGATTCCAAGACGTGAGACAACGTCTTCATTGTCAGCCCCTGCCATTCTTTGCCTACCTCGCAATCCATCGATCTCCCCTGGCCTTGGCTGCGAAGTAATTTGGATTGACGATAGGTTTAGTTGCCATGATAGAACCAAACAGGTCCGGAACACGAACGAATGGCGGCCGTTTCGCAACATGCTGCTGCTGCTCCAATTTTTGGGTGTCTGGTTTCTCTGGTTTCTCTGGCGGTGGTGTGGAGTGAGTGTCGTAGCCGGAATCCGTGCTGTTGCTGCTCATATCGCTGGAGGCCATGTCGGCGTCGTGTAGCTGGGGTTCAAGTGCTGGTGTCGCCATTTTGGATACTGCAGAGTTTACTTCGTAATCTAGTCTGATGGAGCTCGAATGACCGTGATAGAATAATATTTCAGCGTATTAAAGACTGCACGTGGATTCTAGATGATGGGCCCTAAACGGGAGCAGCCGTGTTATAGTATCCATACGGGGCAACAAAATGTCTGTTCTCTGCATGTATTGCCTAAAGGAGTAATTGCCGACTATAAGCCTCAAATAAGCCTTAACGTAACAAATACCCACTCGCCCTGATAAGAACACACCCCGGACGCGCCTAATCAAGACTAGCAATCCGCGGGTGGCCACAACGGGCAATTCCCGTGTGTGCTTCCGTGCTCCTATAATCCATTCAGATAACTTGAGATCTACATCATACTCCTCCATTAAAGTCCTGACTTGCCTCACTTCCTTTCTAAATCTTCATTGTCCGGTGTGATTCTCCGACGTCGACATTTAGTGCAAGTGCTAAGCACGCTCTTGACGATGGGTCTCCTTTCTGATGTTATTAACAACTTCCTCCCTCAAAGTTCCCTGGCATGGGCCGCTCTTATACTCGCATCTTTTGCTCTCTATTCTGTCCAGCTGGTCGTGAGACGGCTCTACTTCCATCCTCTGGCCAAGATTCCCGGACCATTCCTAGCACGGACGACGTACTGGTATGAGTTCTATCAAGACATAATTCTGGGTGGCATGTATGTCAAGAATTATGCCGCGCTCCACGAGAAATATGGTTGGTACCCTTCATACTATGACGCTCGGGGTCCCGCCCCAAGATATATCATAGCTGGCATGATATGCATGTACTGATTCCATGTCAATAGGACCTGTCCTCAGAGCCAGCCCAGATCGGGTTCACGTCAGTGATCCTGACTTCTTCCACGAGTAATTCTTACCGCTAGTTGATCCATTCCTCCCCAGCTGACTTACAATCTCAGGGTCTACTCGTCTGGGTCCAAGTACATGAAGGATCCTGCATTTTTCCAGGCAGCTGGAGGTATTCCCGAGGCGCTCCCTGCCATTGTCGATGTCGAATACCACAAGCGCCGGAGAAAGCTCATCAACGACTTGTTCTCTGCCAAGTCCATGGAAGCGCTTTCTCATCTCGTCCTGAAGGTCGTCCAGAACGCACTCAGCAAGGCCCACGAGCACCACGATGCGAACAAAGTCCTGGACATCCAGCGTCTCTACACCGGCATCACGATTGATACCATCATGCAAGTCCTGTGCGACCGAACGCTCAACTTCATCGACGCCAAGGAAGAGGAGGAGCCACCGTTCCTTGCCACCCTGCGCACGTTCTCAGAGAATTTTTTCCTCTTGAAGCACTTCCCCATCCTCATTTGGATGGCGCTGAACATCCCCAAGAACATTGCCATGAAGCTGATCCCCGGTGAGTTTGAGTTTCGCGCCAGCATCAACCAATGGATACGTGATCGCGCTAGGGAGCATGAGGTCGGCGTGGAGAAGGCCCAGGATGGTCGCAAGACCGTCATCGATCTCCTGCTACGCCCCGAGGACGGCGGGAGGCCCCTCACCCACCAAGCCGTCGAGGATGAAACCTACTCGTTCGCTTTTGCCGGGACCCATACTACCAGCCACACCATGAGCATGGGCACCTATTACCTGCTGAGCCAGCCGGCCAAGCTCCAGAAGCTCCGTGACGAGCTCAAACCCATCCCCAAGAACGACCAAGGCCTGTACGAGTACAAGACTGTCCGATCTCTTCCATACTTGAACGCCTGCATCAAGGAGTCTCTCCGCTTGTCTTCGCCGGTACCAGGTATCCTTCCCCGTCTTGTGCCTGCGGGTGGCATGACGTGGAAGGGTCATTACCTGCCTGCAGGAACCTCTGTTTCCAGTTCCATCTTCTCTGTTCACAATAACCCTGATATCTTCCCCAACCCCGAACAGTTTATCCCCGAGCGGTGGTTGGCTAACGAGAACCTGGACCACTACCTCGTCGTCTTTGGCAAGGGCTCCCGTGCTTGCATCGGTCTCAAGTAAGATTCCCTCTGTTTTATTTCTTGCTCCTTTTTGGAGTTGCCCTCCATGCAGCTGCTAACCTGTTACCCTCTATAGCGTCGCTTGGATGGAGACCTACCTCACCTTCTCTAACTTCTTCACCGCGCTGAACATGAGCCTGTTCGAGACGGACGAGAAATCTACGGACTGGACCGACTGCGGCAACGCTATGATCAAGAAGCATGTCAGAGTCAAAGTTGACTCGTTTGCGTCATAGTAGATGATTGATCAAGAATGCAAGGAAATATAGGATATAGATAGTATAGTTAGAAACTGAAAAAGAATAGATTTGCGTTGTTTGATCCAGAACTTCTGGCCTTCAGTGAGTATCAAGGTGATAGTGATGATTATACTGTGTATAAATGAGCTAGAGAGCTTTTTGGCCTTCGCTACTTACCGTACAATATTCATGAGATATTAATTGACTTATCTCGAAGTTGTTAATATTGTTGGTCAGTGTTTTAATTAGTTTTTTCTATATCTCAATTATACCGCACTTTGATAGTATATATTAGTATTTATAACGTGGTTTTTATCATATGAGCTATCTCATTATATGAACTACTTTCACCTTAATTGATTCAATAATTATTAAAGAATATGAATTTAAATATAATAATTAATAAAAACTATTAAAAATCTAATAATCTAGGGTCTATTATGTTGTTTTAATAAGTTTTTAAATCATAATTCAATTTTTCATAGTGTTTATTATAATATATATTTATTAGAAAAAAATTATTAGAATTGTATTAATTTTAAAGTTTGTTTTATTGAATTTGAGTATTAATCTTTTTCTAAAATTGAATATTTATAACTTTTTACCTAATTAATATTTCTTTATAATATAATTCAGTTATATATATATATATATATATATCGATATTTATTTAATGTTTTATTTATTTTCTAAGATGTAGAACTCATATTCAAAGTATATTTTTATATACTAATCTTTTTGTATTTTTAGCTAGAGTTAATAAAGTTTTGAGAATGAAAATAAAGAAGCTTAATTAATAATAAATAATTCAAGATCTCAATAAAGTTGAATATCAAAAAGCTCTTATTAGATTATAAAGTTTTAAATTTAAATATCTAGTTTTGAGAGTATAGTTTTAGAATTAGATAATATTAGATTTATTCTTTAATTACTTTGAATGATAAATAATGATAAAAAGTTGTAATAAATTAAATTACTTAAGATATAATTCTAAGAATTACATTTACTTCTTATATTCTGAATAAGCAAAAGTGATTTACTAATATAATAATATAAAGCTTTTAATAATTAGTAATGATATAGTATATATAGTATAGAGATTTCCATAATCTTTATTTTAAGAAATGATTAATTATTAATATGTAATTTTAGAACTATAAAGAATTTAATCTTAAAAAACTACCCGGTCTATCCTCTACTACTAAGTCATAATAATATTCTATGTTTAAATATATCTTTTATATAGTTATTTTTTTTTAATATTATACGCGGAAAAACGTGTGTAGATTACGTGATATCATCTATAGCTAGTATTTATAGTTCTTTTCTATATAGTTTAGAAAAAGACAATTGATTTCTATTTATTCTATTATATTCTCTACATACTATATAAAAGCTTTCTAGAGTTTCTCTTCTTTCTCCTCTACTAATAGCATTACTTTCATAGTAATATTTCTATAATATTTGTAAAGGCTTATTCTACAATCCTATTAACTTCTACTGTTTTATAGTATATATAGTTAAAAGTATTATTACTTATTATATATACTAGTATATATATTATACTCTTTATATCAGCTACAATAAGATTATTATAGACTAATTACAATAATATTACTGGCTCGCTTTCATATAATCATACATCTACCGCTTCCTCACTTCAACACCAAGCATTGATGCAAAAGAGAACGATAGAGCTCTTCATGTGGTCTTTAGTGTTTTGGTTGTTCGATTAGTACATATGTTGAGGTGGTGGAAACGGTAACGCTCGTATAGGTGGACGTTTGCATGGAACCCACGTCAAGCATGTTTTGATTCTGCTGCGAGCAGTTTCTCTGTCGCCAAGACCCTCCAGATTCTTTCCGCTGTCAATCAATTGCTCTGCTGTATGTCCCGACAAGCTCAGGGAACACTTCGGCGGCACGCTCAAGAAAGCTGAGCAAGAACGACTTATACTCCCGCGTCATCGTGGCGTCTCAGCGTGGAAACGGACGCCACCTAGACTGTAAAAGAGAACAAATACTGTCACCAAATTTAACGCCAGGCGGCACAGAAACAGCTTCGGCTTCTTGTTGACACGGTCTACCTCAAACAAGATTGACTGACCAAATGAGTGGTATGTAATGGATTTATTCTGTTGCCTATATCCCATATAGAGGATGTACTTCAAATACCCTTGTAGGTCTACAACAATCCATTTTTACCTAATTTCGTGGATCTCTGAGTGCACCATCTCTAGTTCAGCCCTGGCGCCTATCCAGCACGCTTTGATACTATTGCCTACATTTAATTCTAGTAAAACTTGGGAGAAGAAGAGCCAGTACGATTTGGAGAAAAAGAACACATGATTTTCCAATCGGCTCCGCCCGCACTATCAAGCTCGTATGGCCTCTCCTGGCATAGAGCTCTAAGCTAAGAAGAAGAAAAGCCAGGAGATTGTCGCTTATGCCACCGGACAAACAGTCCCGGTTTCCACCACAGAACGTGCACTGTGCTCTGCTCTAAGAAATTAATCTCCTTGTTGACGAGCTCCATGTCATATGACCAGAGCAGCTTCGCCAGCACGAGGTTCAGCTCCATCAAGGCAAAGCTACACGCAAAATCGTCAGTGATTGATCATTTGAAGTCTCGGGGGACAAACTGGGCTGTGGTAACTTACTTTCGTCCCAGGCAGTCTCGGGGGCCAAGCAAGAACGGACGACTGGCATCCTTGATGTCCTTTGAGTTGGGGTCCAACCAGCGCTCCGGCTTGAATTTCCAG